AAGACATAGCATTCCTCTCAAAACTTCAACTAATTGCAAGAATCCATTCACAATGCCTAAGAAATGCAAGCTGTGTAATCTAAGACAATGTAGAGCTATACAGCTACAAGGGAAGCATCGATAAAATACTACAGTTCTCCATAATTCAAAGCCTTTAAAGTACCAAACACAGACTAGGCTGGATGCAAGCCTTAGGCAGGGAAAAGGGAAGTCTAAATGGATGGATGTGACTATGAAGGGAACACTTAAGAACTAAGCCATACAACAACAAGTTATGAGAGGCCCTCCTCCCCCTCCCAATACTGTCAGGAAGTTAGAGTTATTGAGTAGGCATCACTTATGACAGTGAGAAAAAGGGCTTGCCACCCCCTCCTCTCAAAAACTCCTTCACAAGGTCACAGATATATCAGTGTTACAAATGCATTTAAAAAATATTACAGCAATAAACTCTGGTTAGAGTGGTTCCACCTCTATATTCACAGGAAAGAACAACTTCAAACTTCTCCTAAATTAAAAGGTAATGTTAGCAAACACATACTCTCTCTGCCTACACATGAAATCTCTCCCCTCTTCCACACAAGACCAAAAGGGAACCTACTTTCTGTTTAAAGCTAGATTAGTTGTAGGCAATTAACTTTATAAGCTTAACTTTGCCAGTCCTATTTCACACTGACTGTACAGTCACACAAATAGTGGAAGCATCACCACCAAACAGACTGCCTTACCCGTGTCATTTTTTTAAACACAGCAACAAGCCATTTCTCAGGTTTGATCCGATGACTGTGATCTCTTTTTTGATCCTGTAGCCACTGACTCCACATACATCTTTATTACTATAAAAGGAAAACTGTTACCCTGAGGTTTAAATTTCCCTATGTTCACCATGCCTCTTCTAAGGATATATATATCTCAGTTTTAAGACAAGCCTCTCATGAAAGCTGAGGTGAAGAGGAACAGATGACCTCAGAGATAAGTTTCTTCGTTTGTTGCTTCAACTCTAAAGTGACGATACAGCCTCAGCAATGACTCAAAGTCCAGGTATCCCAGGACTGTGAAGTGATTAAATAAATGGAAAGAGATTCTCTTATCTGGGCTGCTAGACTAAATCTCTCTAATGATTGCCCAACAACCAAGTATGAACAAACACACTAGAAGTCATTCCTTCAGGATACAAAAGGGTCAGGCACGTTGATAGCTCTTCATTCATTATGGGAGAACAAACAACTTCAACTAAGAATTATAGCCCTAAAAAAGCTGATCATAAGACCACCACTAAATTAAATTCATAGACACTAAGGCCTTGGCGTATTCTGTATCCCAACAACCAGTATTTATAACAAATGAAAAGGATAGGATATATACATATTAGAAATCAAATTGTGTAAAAAATGTTAAATGTCGTGAAATGGTTAGAGAAGTTGTAATAGAAGTTGAAAGGAAAACATACTCAAGCTGGGAAATTATGTAAGACCTAAGAACACTGGATTTCTGTCTTTACATATGCATGGATTTAAATATGCCTACATGGAAGGTATGAGGATAGGACATTTCTTTCTGTGGAAACAAGTTGGACAAAATGTGTAGCAGGCACACAGAAGAGACTCAGGCCATTCAGAGAAGTTTGTTTGATAGGAAGGAAGAAGTTAGGAGTAGCCCTTAGGGAAGTACAGAAGAAGGGTTCAAAGAAAGGATACCTAACCAGCCTGAATAATCACGAAAGTTTCCTTGCAGAATGCAGTGCTTGAGGTGAATCTTGAGAGATACGTAGGAATTAGCCGTATAGATTAAGGTGCTTCAGGTAGGGGAGGTAGCATATAAAAAGCAGAGAGGCATGGGAGAGCGTGGTGCATCTAGGACACATTTACTCTGGTAGTCCTAAAGCAAGAACAATGGTGTGGAAAGCCAGCAAGAAATGAGCTTGAGAGGAAGATAGAGGCCAAGCATGAAGGACACTGCAGGACACTCTGAAAGAGGGTAAGCCTCACCTTTAAGGTGCCAAGAAAAACATTTAAAGTTGTGAGCAAGAAAGTGACATCTACGGTGTATTTTAGGAAGATTCCTCTAGAAGCAGTATTAAGGATGCATTACAAGGAATGAGGCTAGCAGTAAATGAAACAATTAAGAGGCTGTTACACCATTGTAAGTCTACTTCCCTCATCTGTAAAATGAAGACAGGCAGGACCTAGAGCTAATACAGGGGGAAATGACAGTAAAGGAGGGAATTCTCTATGAGGACTCCTAGGTTTATTTAACTCATTCGATGGATGGTGGTACCCTTCATCAGGATAGGAAACATGGAATAGAGGGAGATGTGGGAAGAACAGATTTTTGTTTTGTTTTGTTTTGTTTTTGAGACAGTCTTGCTCTGCCGCCCAGGCTGGAGTGCAGTGGTACAATCTCAGCTCACTGCAACCTCCACCTCCCAAGTTGAAGCGATTTGCCTGCCTCAGCAGGCAGTAGCTGGGACTACAGGCACCCACCACCACGGCTGGCTAATTTTTTTATTTTTCAATAGAGGCAGGGTTTTACCATATCGGCCAGGCTGGTCCCAAACTCCTGACCTTGTGACCCACCTGCCTCAGCCTCCCAAAGCGCTGGGATTACAGGCGAGAGCCACCAAGCCCGGCCAGAACAGATGTGAAGTTAAGTTTTAGACATCTTGAATTTTAGGAAAATACAGTTCAGTGTTTAAAACTATGAGTTCTGAACATAGATATAGTTCAGATCCTGGTTCTGATACTTACCGTTTGTGTTTCTTGGACAAGGGACTTATTACTGTCCTCTCCTCTTCCTCTTCTGTAAAATGGGGCAACAGTAGTAACTATAGGGTGACAGTGAGGATTAAATGGGATCATGAATACAGACACTAAATATAATTGCTGTTTTGTCATCCATATTATTTGAGAAAACTGGAACATCTGGACTGAGATGTCCAAGAGCCACTTTTAGAACACGGTCTGAAGTTTAAATGCAAAAGACATCTTGGCTGTGCACTTAAAAGTACATTATACTGCAATTTAAAAAGAAAAGTGGGAAGAATTGGGGTTTGAGACATTTATTTGCCAACTTATTGGATGACGAGAAGGGTTAAAAAAAGATAGCTGATCAGAAGCAAGGCAAGTCATGGTTATTAAATTTCAGAGACACACATTATATTGTAAGAAAAGGGCAGTCCTTATTTTCTTGCAAGTAACTTGATGAATTAAAAGAAAAAAATGAATTCTTTCCACTATCCAAGTAAAACTATGAACTTGGAAGGAAGAAATGGGAGAAAAGTGAAAATAGTAACTTGGAACCAAACCAAACTTGGAATAAAACTTGGAACCAACCCAAATGTCCATCAATGGTAGACTAGATTAAGAAAATGTGGCACATATATACCATGGAATACTATGCAGCCATTAAAAAAGATGAGATCATGTCCTTTGCAGGGACATGGATGAAGCTGGAAACCATCATTTGGAGCAAACTATCACAAAGACAGAAAACCAAACACCGCATGTTCTCACTCATAGGTGGGAACTGAACAATCAGAACACTTGGACACGGGGCGGGGAATGTCACACACCTGTTGTGGGGTGGGAGACAGGGGGAGGGATAGCATTAGGAGAAATACCTAATGTAAATGACAAGTTAATGGGTACAGCAAACCAACATGGCACATGTATACCTATGTAACAAACCTGCACGTTGTGCACATGTACCCTAGAACTTAAAGTAAATAAAAATAAATAAATAAAACCAAAAGGCTTCTAAAATAAAATACAGCCAAATGAGGAGGAAGGTCATTATAATACGAGAACCTAGGATTTGTCAAATAAGAAAACATACTATAGGCAGATATTAACACAGGCTGTGTGAAAGTTTAAAAGAATAGAACACTACTCATTATATTTTCAAAAGGAAAAATTGAAAGAATATACAAGAAATGTATGAAATTGGCAACTATAGGAAGTTGGGTGGGAATGGGACAAAAAACATAGGGAATGAAATGAGAACAGATAGTTTTGATTTTGAGCCACGTTAATGATTTATATGTTTAAATTATAAATCAACAATGATAGGGAAGAAATTAAAACAGAATATAAACAGAAATAAACGATCCTAACTATATATCTATTGATACACACACACACACACACACACACAACTAATCTGTAAATTTGTGAACATGGTACTCATCTACCCTCAGTGGGATCTATTTTAAAGACAGAAAGAATGGCAAAAAATCCTGCACTTGCTTGCAGTGAGCCGAGATCGTGCCACTGCACTCCAGCCTGGGCAACAGAGCGAGACTCCGTCTCAAAAAAAAATTCTGCACTTTACTTGGTAGATTTGATGTCTACAATGGTCTTGGTGGAGTAATTCCAAAACTATCTTGTACTAAAAAGATATTGCTGTCACTGGGAAACAGAGTTTTCACCATGGGAGAAAGAAAACACAAATAAGGAATGGGAGATGGAGAGAAAGTACCCTGGGATGTTAGACTGGAATTGAATGTATTAGCATGACATTGTGATTTAAATGAATAAATATTTTTAAAATACACTCACACAGTTGCCCCTTGAACACAGGGCCCATACCCCATGCAGCTGAAAATTCACATATAACTATTTTTGAGACAAAGGATATTTTATACGCGTGCGCGCGCGCACACACACACGCTTGTTTGCTCACTGAAAAGTTAAGAAACAATGACAAGTCAGTAGCAATGAGCACAATTCTTAGATATCCGCTATCTAAATATCATTCTTTGACTAAAAGGAATCAGGACTCCTTGGAGAAATAACTGATTCCAGGTCTGGGGGCAGGGAAAATACAATATAAACACGGATATCTTCTTGTGACATGAAATACAAAAAAGCTTAAAAATTAATGAGAATATATTAAAAGGATACAGGAGCCACTCTGAAGGGGTTCCCACTGGCCAAATCACACCACACTGAACCCATTGTAATTTTCTAAATAAATAAATAAATAAAAACAGAGAGAGAGAAGAGTAGGGAAGGCAAGCTCCTCTTTATTCAGAAATGCCTCTACCCAAGTAGAGGAATTAGAGAATTAGAAAATCACAGTTTTGTAACCACTGACATATTTGATTCAGACAGGTTTATCAATGCTCCTCAATCCATTAAGTAAAGCGCCATTACAGAACAAGATCTTCAGGCTTGAAACTAAAGAAGACAGAGGGCTCTTCACAATGCAGTTTGTTCACAAGATATGTATGCACAACGTTACTCATTAATTATAAAAGGACAAATATGGAGAACTCTATAAATTCACCTACATTCAGTAACTAAATGTATATCTTGAACCAAGGGATCAAACTAGTAATAGGGCAACCTGATATTATGTCCCTCTTGAGGCAGTGTTACAAGAAAGTTGGCAGTATCAGCTATGCAGGGTTCTTGCAAAAGATGTTTAATCTGAACTGAACCATGAGGAAATGATCAAACAATTTGTAGAACTGCAGAACATTCTACAAAACAGCAGGTGGATTCATCAAAATGTCAATGCCATAAAAGACACCCCTTAAAAACTCCTTAAAGAAAAAACAGGTGGCAAGCAGGGTAATGGTTCTAGATTAAAAGAGACTAGAGACCATATGCAGTGTGTGATCTCTGATAGATTCTGCAGCAGAGAGAACAAAGTAATTGGGGAAATTTGAACATGGACTAGATAATTTTAATGTAATAATGGTATTGCGTGTGCCCAGGAAAATGTCTTTATTCTTAGGAGCTACATGCTGAAGTATTCATCATGATGCAATCTGCTTTCATGTGGCTTAGGGAAGAAAAAAGATGAGTATGGGTGTATACATTATGTAGAAGAGAGAGAGAGAAAGCAAATGGGGAAAATGTTAACAGTTGATGGATTTAGGTAAAGTAAATACAAGTATTCATTGTACTCTTCTTTCAAGTTACCTGTGGTTTTGAAATTTTTTGAAATAAAGGTTGAGGGAAAAATAGACTAGAACCTTCTGAAAGACAAAGATGAACCTAACACAGTGCCTGATATAAAAGCAGATACTCAATTTTAAAGTCATTTTTAAATGTTCATTTTTCTACCAAATGTCTTACGGGTTAGCTACAGAAACACCATTTCTTTATTAAACATAGTATATAAAATATAGAAAACTGCATAAAACAGTAATGTCCTTTCTGTGTTAGAAGACCCAGCAATTAGAGATTATAATCATTGTCAGTTTCTCCAAGATTACAAGATAATTCCATTCACTTATCAAAAAAACATTCAACTCCAGGTGGGATCTTGCTGTCACAGTACTCTTCAGTTTCACCTTAGAGATGACTGAGTACATCCTGAATTAATCCTTTTTACACAGTATTTTTTTCAGTATTCCCTAACATGTGTAAGATTTACACAAGTTATTATTATTAGCTGTAGCCAGAGATATAACACCCACCTCTAGGTATTGCTGTTTTAATAAAAGTGATTGATAAACAGAGACAGGTAAATAGGTAGAAAATACTTCCTACTTAAGAGTGTTCATATATATTATTTTATTTTATTTTTGCCATCTTGTAAAGTAAGCAGTTTGATTAAAGTACTTGGTTTTACTATCCTGTAACCTTAACTGGGTATTACCCTTGCAAACCTGGCCCAGAGATGGAGAGATTTGCTTCAGGAAAGGGAAATAAACAGCAACTAGCAATTATGTGATTACTAACAAAACTAAAGAAGATAGAGGGCTCTTCACAATGAAGTTTGCTCACAAGATATGTATGCACAAGGAAAAGTGAAATTCAGTGTTATTTAAGCTAATCTCTACTTGAACCTTTTAAAAGATAAAACCATTTGAGCAGTAATTTAGTACTAAATTAACTTGGTTTTTTTCTCCCTATCTTTGAAGTTTTCATTGTTTAAATAAGGGTTTCTGCAAGAAAAATGAAGCAATGCTCCTTTTTTATTCGAAAGAAGAAATCAATGGGATGCCTTGTAACATCCAGGAGGCTGGATTTATACAAGCATATTCAGCAAAGAGCCAAATAAATAAATACCACAGTTTGACATACAACCTATTCCCCAAAACTGTCCCAAAATACTTCAAGATAATCAACTTTTTAAATCACTGTATTATCATGCCGCCTAGCCTTTTTCTACTAGCAAGAACTGAACTCTGAAGGGAAGGGTGCCAGGCCAGGGAAAAAGGAAGGGAAGAACTCTGGCAGAAATTGTTCCCAGATAAAGGCTTTGAAAAGATCCTTACGATAACAAATTTAGCAGGTAGACTGAGAAAGAAAGGTTTCATTTTTTTGTTTCTTGAGCCAGTGATAATCCACCCTCTATGTTATCTACCAAAATGCAACCAAATTCCTAGACTTGCCCCAACGCTGGCCTGGCAGTGACTGATGACGGTAACTTCTTTGTTTAGTTAGGCAGCTCTGCTCCCAAAGACAAACGTGTTGAAAACGCTAGCTAGTAAAGGCCTGGGTTTTAAAGCACTTCCCCCTTCCATTTCTTTTTTTTTTTTTTGAGACGGAGTCTCACGCTGTTGCCCAGGCTGGAGTGCAGTGGCGCGATCTCGGCTCACTGCAAGCTCCGCCTCCTGGGTTCACGCCATTCTCCTGCCTCAGCCTCCTGAGTAGCTAGGACTACAGGCGCCCGCCACCGCGCCCGGCTAATTTTTTGTATTTTTAGTAGAGACGGGGTTTCACTGTGGTCTCGATCTCCTGACCTTGTGATCCGCCCGCCTCGGCCTCCCAAAGTGCTGGGATTACAGGCTTGAGCCACCGCGCCCGGCCCCCTTCCATTTCTTTGGGTAGATTTTTTAGGATTTATTTTATTGTATTGTATTTATTTATTTATTTCCGGTAACTAGGTAACTACACGCACCAGACACAAGCACCAAATACTCCTCTAAGGTGGTGGTATCTCTTGGATCATCTTCAGAGGAGCCAATCTCATTCACCCAAGTCAGCAGTTCCACATGAGGCCCTCTGACTGTGACCCTTAAAAAGTCTTCCTACTTCTAAAGGACTTCACTTTTTGTCTGAAAGTCTTACTTTGACAGCTTGTAATTTGTTTAGTCAATTACCCCATTTTCATGCCGTAGTAAATCCCCATATTCAAATACAAACTACCAAATGAAGACAATGCATTTTCAACAATCTAAAGTTTTAAATTTTCATGAAAAGCATGGCCATACTATCAACACATTTTGGCTTCGCCTCAAGAAACAGAATCATGTATAGACCTGTGAAGTCAAAAAAGAAACTTGTGGGTTGAGGTACATTTTAGGTAAGTATGTGTTAGTTAAAACGGAAGATGTAAAAGGAAAGTGTTTATTCTCAATGTAGGCAAAGAGAAATCAGCCATCCTACACCTACAAACCAAGATAGACAGTTAAGGGAAAAAAGATAAAGAGAGGATTTTATGCAAAGGTAACCAGCTGAATGCTGATAGGCAGAACCACTGTCTTCCTCAGTTTCACTGGAGAATCATCAGTCTTCCAGTCCCATCAGGATTAAGCTGAAAAGTAATAAGAAATGAGGGCAATTAGAGAGGGAGTGGGAGAGCAATTGAGGAAGAACAACCTAAAGACAAAACAGTGTGCAGTCTGAATCTGATGCAAGAAGTAAGAATGTGAGATTAGGTTTCTGAATGGGAAATGTTAGATCCTGTCCTGAAAAGAATTAGAACTGCAGTAGCTAGCAGAGGACTAGGGTAGGAGGAACTGACTAGGAGTCTCCTGTTAGCAAAACACAGTTTGGAGAGGGCACTGATGTTTCCAGAGAATGTCACTTAGAAACAATCAGCCCCATTTTATTTCAGTGCAAGCAGGAAAGCTAAGGAGGGGAAAAAAGACTCCAAATTTAGGGGCCTTGGAGACCAGGATGCCGATGGTGTCATTTGTAATAATGGAGACTTTGAGAAAAGGTGATACCTACTGCAAAAAGATAAAAGGTTCAAATTTTTTAAACGTTAACTTTTAGGTTAATCCCAGCCAAGTGGAGATATGGCACAGACAATGGGAGTCAGGGAACTGGAGAACCCTTTGTTTTCAGGCAGATTCTTCCCACCTCCTCTAGGGACAGCATAACTCAATTCCAACTAGACACAGCAGTCCAGTGCTGGACAGCCGACGAGGAATCAGAGCACCTACCTTTCCAAGGAAGTCTGCCAAGAGCCAGATACTTATTCTAGGCATTTTTAAAAGTCTATGTCACTGGAATATCAACTTCAAACACTGAGTAGCATTTAAATATATATCACAGCTCTTTCATTTCAAGCCTATTTAACATTTCTGAAATACCTAGATCAAAATGTTGGGTCAAATGTCTATATTCCAGTAAAACATCTACTAAAAGAAAAAATTTCTCCCACCTTATCTCCCTTAAGATAATCACCTCAGTCAAGACACCTGTCAGTCATAACAGGTTTTTCTCAGTGCTGGGCTTTTCTCAACCTTGACACCAAGTTTCTTTTGAGTAATAACAAAGGCCACACGTCATCTGAGCTGTGCATGTGTATAAATACCTACATCACCCTTTTTTCTAACCCTAGTTCAAGGCCAACTGCACCAAAGCTTTTGAGAATCAGCACTGGAAGGATCTTCAAAGAGAAACTGCCCATTAACCACAACAGCAGCTGCTGGCTAGAGCCTGCAATTTAAATCTCTGAAAAAGAAACTGTGGCTTCTGAAATTTAAACAAGGAGGTGCCACTTGTAATTACAAACATTCCAGTGGGTTCCTTCCTTCATTGATGGTTTCCAAGCTAAGGCTTTTTATTCGATTTCGGTGGCGCTCCCCAAACTGTGAATGTAGGCATTCCTTTGTGCTTTTCTTGTGCCCTGGTCAACTCAGAAGGGGTGGTGCAGGGGGCAGGTTTTCACCTGGCCAGGGCCATTCGGACCCCTCAAAATCATCTCATGCATAATTCCCTGTTTGTCTGGAAACAAAAACACCAAATGTTAAATGCTTCAGATTTATAGTCCACATTTAATCAGATTTTTGAGAGTCTCAAAAAAAAAAAAAAACCTCACATTTCATGAACCTTGGAAAATGGAACAATTTTCAGAAAAACCAAAGACTTTTAGAAATTAACACTGACGCATTCCAACATTTCTAGCTGAAATTAAAAATTCACATTTTAAATCAATAGAGCAAATATTTAGAAGGAAAGGTAGTAACGTTTTCTCTCCCCACCATCCTTCACCACCATCCCACAAAAATAAGGCCCACATACTTACAGCTTGATGTATGAGTTTCCCACACCAAAGAAGGCATTTTGTGATCACTTCAGTTACAGAATAGCAGGCTGAAATTAGCACTTAGCCAGTTCGCAATAGGAAGAGACATTTTTATTTTAAGCAATATATCCACAAAATGCAAAGGTATTTATACCATGGAGGCCTTTAAAGATAAATATACAAATGGGGTATCTCACAGTCATCAAACTAACATGAGCCTTTCCTACAGAAGTCCTCACATGCAGCGTATTCATTACGGGAACAAATGGAAATGGCCAATCTCGCCAAGGGTGCTTTCCAGCGCATACCGCAGTTGAAGGACTAACTACAATTACTGCATATTTACACAACTGTATTTGCACAACAATAAAACTCATCTTATCCGATCCAAACAAAATCTTGCTCAAAATAAACCAAACCATACGAGAAGGTCTCCTCAGTGGAAGCAATAATCGTGCTGTAGCTTCTCTGGTCTCTGCCTTTGCTTTCACCAACTGCAACAAACCTTCATTCTCTCTTCCTCAGTAAGGTAAAGCAAAAATTCGGTGCATCCAGATGAGAATACTATGCGTATGGTCAGATAATAATACTGGGATGAGGAATGGAAAAAGATTGGGCTGTATCTTAGAAATCATTCTAAAAGTAATTATGGAAGAAATGATGGGATATTCAGGATTTATTTAAAGTAATCTGAGGAAAGGAGGATGCACAGAGGGAACAGAGTGACCGGGGTGGATAATTATTGAAACTGGGTGATTTGCATGATGGTTAAATATGGTATTCTTTCCACTTTGTTTATATTTTAAATTTTCCATAATAAAATGGGAAAAAAGAAAAATCTGATCAATGTAAAAAAAAAAAAAGTCATCCTTCAAAAATAAAACATTTTTGTTCTTTAAAAAACAACAAAAAAAATTCTCAGCTTTTTCTTGGCTTCATGAAAAGAGGCAAGTGCCTGGTAAGAAAATCAAGCTATGTTCTTGTTCTTGACTTTAAAACATTTCCCTTTTTCCTTAGTTATACAGAACCAGTTCTACTGCTAATATTAATCCTTGAAAAGACAAATAAAAAACTGTAAAAATCTAATCTGAGCCTTCCGAAGCCTGGTTTTTGTGTATCAGACTTATTCCGATGACACAAATCCAGATTTCTCCCCTGCGAAGGTGCTTTGGATGACATTTCTGTTGCGGCTGCCAAATAAATTCTAGAGGTTTCGGGATCATTTGTCAACACCAAAGACAACATTACCAAGAACTGGTCCTTTCTTCCCAGAGGTCACTCCTCTGATCCATGGGTTTATTACCTAGAGCAACAATTAATCTTGCTGCCTTCAAAATACAAAATATTTTTAGCCAAGATAGTGTCTATTCATGATCCGTATCTCTGACCAGGGATCCTTGCCAGGAGGCGGAACAGAAGGTCCACTGCCTGGACATCAAGGGACCTGTCCCCATCCAGGATCCGTCGCTAACCTAGCCTCAGTTCAACTGCAGAGTAATGTTCTTCCCTCCCTGGCCTTCGGCTACTTTACTTCAAAATGGGATTTCACCAGATGATTTCTAATATCTTTCCCCTCCCCAAAATTCCATGATTATAAGAATCTCTAATTCCTCAAAAGGTAATATTTCTAAAAACGGCTTTAGTCCCAAAATGTTACATTTTCTATGAAATAATTTTTAATGTTAATATGAATATTGTATGTGGGCAAGTTTTTATATACTGTACACATATATGTATACATAAGTATGTATATGTATGTATTTGTATCAGTGCTTATACATACACACACACACACACACACACACAGATACCATTAGGTGCTTATATGGGACTAATTGCTTCCAACTCAAAGCAGCAAATTTTTCAATTCTGCAACAGATGTCGCTGTGTGATTTCTCCTTTCTGTGCTGGATTTTCAGTTAAAAATGCCCAGCATAATGGTCAGAACTATTCTTCCCAAGAAAAATAGACAGCATTTGAATCCTTTGAATTCATTTTGAATTTTCTTCATCTGCTGGTAAATTTCCATTCAAATTATAGTATTGATTAGTTTGGCCCAATTTAAGAGATTCCCCACATTAAAATGCACCTTTTGCTAAAAACATACACACACACGCACACACACACAATCATTTTTAAAATGTAAATTCTAAGTGACCAATTAGGCATTAAAACGTCATGTACAGAAACCCCAAGAGAATGAGACAGTTTATATTCATAGCAATCTTATCAATTTTTAAAGCCTAAAAAATCATTTAGCAATATAGGCCAAGGGATAATAAAAATTCACTTATGTATGAGACTAAAATGTACCAGATGTGCGAAAAAGTCACTAAAAACTCCAAAAGCACCATCAGTAAGAATACAATTTTTGGATGTTGGTTTTCACAGCATTTCTTTCCAAATAAATAGTAAGGCTAATGTTATAATTGCAAGACATCTTACCAATCTGACATTCACTATCAACCACTTCTTGACACATGTCATAGAAAAGTGACATCTCTTTCCCTTCAACCAATATATCCTCCAACGACATCAACCTCAACAGGTAGCTGGCATTGTCTTCTGTTGAAATTTAGAGCTGGGAGAAAGGATTTCACAATCTCTCTTTGAGACCCAGGAACCCGTTACCTTCTGGGATTTTAGAGAGTGTAGAGAGAGATGAGCAGGCAGTGAGCCGGGGACCAACTCCGATAAGAATATGAAGTCAGGAAGTGAGAGAGGAAACGAAAGTGTCCTGCCTGTTGGCGTCTTCCCTGTCCCACTCCCCTTTACCAGGAGGGCCATTGGGGAAAACTGGATAAAGCATGTACAACATCCATATGAATAAAGCTCTTTGTTCCAGAGAACTGCCTGCTCTTTTATTCCCCCCTTTTTCGTATTTGTTCATTTCAAAAGATTGCTCAATGGGTCTCTTGTTCCTCCAAAACGTCCCAGGCAAATAATGCAAGCTTGTCTCGTCACACAAGTCACTAAATGAAGCCTTGTGCGTCTCCAGTGACACACTGTAAATATAAAGTGGCATTAATGAGGGATATTTTATCAAATCTATCACAGACAAGTGCAAGTCCCTCCTGCGGCTATTCAATTTGATGCAGGGAAAGGCAACAATAACAGGGCGGCACTTTTGTAAAGTCTCTATCCCCGGTTTGCAAGCCTCAACAGGCCATAGCAAGCAAAACTCAGCCCCCCTCCTTCCCATCACCACCATAAAACCCCCACCCACCAGCCATCTTCTGTAATCCTGAAAATGATAAGAGGCGGGTGATCAGCTACTGGTTCACTCGGGAACAAAAACAACATCATGCATACACCTTAACGTAACAGGCGTGATTAACACTGTGGAGTGAGCTTAAGCAAACCCATTTTTGCTGCATTTCATTAACATCCATTTCATCCAAACATCACAGGAGAAATGAGAGGAGATTTTCTGCGGGGGATGGATGGCTTGTTACAGGAGAAAACAGAACCAGGACCCAGGCACGATGGTCCTAATTCGCTTTCCCAGCAAGGATGTAAATCAAACAAGCCTAATGAAGTTAGATGCACCAACAGGTTTCTTTAACCCTGGGAGTGGGAACTGGAGGCCTCTGAGAAAGCTTAAACTAACAGAACTGAGGAGGAAAAGTCCCTTAGTGCCCACCTGAAATTTACCCCTGGGGTATGGGACCCCGCAATGAGCCAAGACCTCCTCTCGAACTCACCACGAAATATATATGGATTAAGAGAAAAAAAATTAAGAAAGTCATCTCATCCCCTCACTACAAATCAAACCCAATTACTTTCTAATTTGAACACAATCTGATAACCAGCATACAAACAGGGATGTACACAAGAGCAAGAAGCTGCTTCCATGGTAACTGGCAACAGAATTTTCATGTAGCTTTGACATGCACGGTTGAGTTCCAGACCGCTCCTAAGTCAGCATATATCCCTCGCAGGGAAGGCAACTTCTCACCGCGAGATAGTTACAAATATAGTACCGTTGCTACTATCCGATGCCTTCAATGAGCAGTCTTGACAGGGGAGGCATAATCTAATCCTACTCCGTTGCCAAGCGTCATTGCACGACTCCCATTTTTAGTCAAAAGGCAATATCCCCGACCACAGTTTTTCCCCCACCCCCCCCCTTTTTTTTTTTTTTTGTGCAGCCAATACAAGTCTATTGTTGCCTCTATTATGCGCCAGTTACCGAGCCTTTACTCACGCTCACGTTTAACTGACACTGGCGCTTTTTACAATGCAGCAGCACGAGGGATCTCTTTCAGGAACATTTTATTGAACCCATCCAGTCAGAGGCATCACCTGAAATGAAGTTGTAACCACACTGGCATCGGCTGAACCCAATTATCTCGTAACTCATAAATTAAGAATTCACAGAGGAAAAATACATAAACAACACCCGGAGACAGTGGCATGGAAGAAAAAATCGTCAGCGCTGGAATTGACGCTGCTGCCAAACGCCCCCCAATAGGTTCCCCAAGCCGAGCTCCTTTCCAAGCCTATTTGGGGGCAAGCAGCCAACCTGGCGTCCCCCAAATCTCAAGCTAGCACCCCCACACATCCCCCGTCTCCTACAGCGTGTCTCCTGCGGTGTTTACATAACTGTGTGTCCTCTAGCGTGTAAACAAAAGGCACAGCCCAAGCGGACAGGCGCCCCCGAAGCTGCACGGTGGCCCCAACGCTGTGCCCGTCCGGGCCTGGGGCTCCGCAGGTGGGGGCTGAGCTCTCGGCGTCCTCCGCCACTTGTTGCTCCCGGGTCCTGCAGCTCTGGAGCTGCAAGGAGGGGCTTTGCAGGCTCAGAGCCCTGCTGCATCCCCTCCTGCATCGCCGCTCGCCCCCGCGGCCCCGTACCACTTGGTCCTGGCGCCCGCCTGGAGCCTGCAGCAGGGGCTAGGGGACGCCGCACGGCTGCCGAGCGCGGCGAGGTGGCGGGAAGGGAGGCTGGGTGCAGCACGGCCGGCCTCTCCGCTGGGGAAGAGCTCCGGCTCCCTTTTGTTAGCAAAAGCAAACACTGCCCTCTTCTTTCCCGACCGCGCCAACGCGCCCGGCACACGGGCAGCCACACATCGGGCTCCAGCCGAGTGCTCGGCGTCTTCAGGGAAGGCACCGGGCGTGCAGAGCCGCCCCTGGGCAAATTCCCAAGACTGCTCTTCACGCAGGGGGCGCGCGGAGGCCCGCAGGGTGCCCGCCTGGCCGCAGAGGCCGCGACGCCCCCTCCGCCACCCTCGGGCCGCGGAAAGAACGGGCAGCCGGGAAATCCCGTGTCCCCACTCGTGGCAGAGGACGCTGTGGGGCGGGCGGGCTGCGGGCTCCCGGCGCCTTCCCGCAGAGGCGGCGACAGCGGCCGCCCCCCGGCGGGGCCGGGCCGGGGAACTTTCCCCGCCTGGAGCCAGGCCAAAAAGACCCGCAGCGGAGCCGAGGGGGCGGAGGGCTGCGATCCGCCGGAGGGAAACACGAGAGGCGTGCAATTTGGGGACAGGGGAGAAAGGCAGAGCGCGTGGGGGGAAGGGGCAAGGGAGATCAGAGAAGTCTAGGGATGTCCTGGGGACCGGGGAGAAATCACGCCGCCGGCTGCTGGGAGTCAGCCACCGGGAGGCTTCGGGGATGGAGAACTAGGGGGGGCCCTCTGGAGAGGTGGGGGCGAATGGGCAGCCCTGGGAGGTGGGAGGACCTGCAAGTTACGGGGACAACGGCGAGTTTAGGAGGGTCCGGAAGGGTTGAGGTTGTCTGCGATTCATCCCCTTCCCCCATGCTTTACAGCCCCCGGGCCCCCCATTCTCACTCCACGCTGCACCCCGCGCAAAGCCGGGTAGAGAAGGTGTGGGTGCAGCCATCCCTGGGGACTCTCATTCACACTCAGCCGGGCAGGGTAGAAGGGGCTCACAGATTCCCCTCAGCCCCTTCCCTCTCAGCCCTGAGTTTCCTCTCTACACTCCCTCCGCTTCGGATTTAGGAAGTGGGGGGAGGTTGTCATGGAAACGTTTCCCCCCTCTGTGGCTACGGCTACTGGGTGCCTTGGGAGATTCAGGGGCCAACCGGCCGGTGCCCACACCTACCTGTGGGGATCAGTGCCGCGGCGGAGAAGAGCAACAGCAGAAGCCGGAGCCGGAGCCCGGGAGGCGCCGCCGCCGCCGCCACCGCCGCTGCCGCCGCACACTGGGATCCGCTCGGCAGCACTGCACTCGCCATGTCGGGCACCTGCCTCAGACTGGCGGCGTTGGCTGCCTCCGGAGCCAGAGCGGACAGCTAATGATATGCTAATGACATGCGCTGGAGGCGGAGTCCGGGTATACCAATCACAGCACCGCGAGCCCAACCCGGCTCTCGGAGGGCCTCGCCCCCTCCCCCACCCCGCCCCCTGGCGCTGGCGTTCGGCGGCGCGCCCGCGCCACCTAGGGGCGGGGTCAAGGGGAGGGGCGTATGCAGATATGTTTATGTTAAAATTCGGTTTTGCTTTCCCCGGATCGAGGAAAAAGTGTTCTCCCGGGCGCCTGGCGTGCGAGGACTCGGGCTCCAGGGGGCGGGTCTAGCTTCTTGTACACCTTTATTAGGAGTGTTTATAGCAATCGCTGTATCAGACCGACGACTGGAGAATCTCCCTTAGAGGGTCCTCTGTCCCGCACACCGAGTGCATCTGGCCTGCGAACCAGACGTTGCAAATTTCCGTCACTCACCTTGCACCGAAGGAATAGATCTTTGGGAACGGGGGCTGTGCGGGAGTGGAGAGTAAGAATGCAGGTCCCCGGATTGACAAAACAATCTGGGAGAAGTGCATGCGTGCTTTGCACGTCCGGCGGAGCGGGAGAGCCCGCTCAACAGCCTAGCGGTAGACTCGGGGATAGTTGGAGAAGGCAGCCCTAGAGTCGGGTTCTGAGATTTTCCAGTCGGTCTCTTTGCGGCAGAATCTCGGGAAAGGTAGATCGAGGAGGGTATGCTCAGGTTCCCCCGCTTGTAGAGGGTCTCCTCCCTGGTTTTAATATATAGGCGTGTGTTGAATATATGTATGAACTATTTGTAATTTTAGATATTTAAGATTACACAACAATGGAAAAAATTATTCAGTCAAGGCTTCAGGTGAAGAGCGGGGGTCGTGGGAGTTGGGGACAGGGAGTGTGGTGAAGGCAGGGTCTGCCGTGTTCCTCCTTAGGGGCTCAAACCCTCTCACTCCTCCTCTGCGCCCTCAGCCCTTCCTAGAAAGGAAGCCGGGGACCAACAGGTGCTCAGAGCTTCTCGTGTCTCTGGGAAAGCCTCTCCTGCTACGGCGACTTGCATCTCCGAACTCACTCTCCCTCCCTGAAATTCTCTTTGCTTTCTTTTCAACCAGGCCGCCGGCTCTCTTGTTTGTCTGCTTTTTAATTACTTATTTTCTTCCCCTCTAGAAGATCGTGTGCGCTCTGACCCTCTGTTGCTCAAGCATCAAATTGAAGGACGAGCCATATTAAGTGTAAAGGTTTATAATAATTTAAGTATTCATAGAAGGCAGAACAATAAGATGTAGGAAATACAATTTGCATAATAAATATCAATATCACAACAGCTAAAACAAACCATGACAAATTATCTGTGGCTAAATGACCAAGAGATTACTGAATGTAAATTGCTAAGTCTGAGCTGTAGTCTGGAAGAGCTGTGCCAAATGACTTCCCTAGCCTTCTGTCCTCATCTTGCTAAAAAATAAATAAATAATACATATCAAAAAGGAAGTCATGATCTGCCAACCCACCAAATGAGTTACACTTAAAAACAGCCTCCTATTATCCATTATGCATAAACTAATTTCGAGACTGCCCGGTCTTCACAGCCCTGGATATTCTGCTCTGTAATTACAGGCCCTGATGCATGAACTGCAGGCAGTCCTTCAGAAGTGGGGAAAGCTCCAACAGGAGAATAGAACTACAGGAGACAGGAAACCATCACCACGTGGGTGCCAGGATAATGCCCAGTCTGCAAAGTTCTACCTGATCTTATTACCTCTGGCAGTGAGGTACCTGGGTCAGACCAAATAGAGAGCAAAATTTCACCAAAATAGGAATAAAAAATTTAAGGCCGGCCGGGTGCGCTGGCTCATGCCTGTAATCCCAGCACTTTGGGAGGCTGAGGCAGATGGATCACCTGAGGTCAGGCGTTCGAGACCAACCTGGCCAACATGGTGAAACCCTGTCTCGAATAAAAATACAAAAATTAGCCAGGCATGATGGCATGCACCTGAAATGCCAGCTACTCAGCAGGCTGAGGCAGGAGGATGACTTGAACCCAGGAGGCGGAAGTTGCAGTGAGCTGAGATCACGTCATTGCACTCCAGCCTGGGCGACAAGAGTGAAACTACGTCTCCGAAAAAAATAAGTAAGACCATATGTATGCTGAAAGTGATATGTAAACTATAAAGGCAGGTCCCATATGGCAAGAATGCTAACACAGAGCCTGGCACATAGTTATATTATTATTTGCCATTACTATTATTACTACTCTTGCATTCATTGAATTCTTCTTAAGTATTCTACATGCAAAATCTCATTTAATCCTTGGAACAATCCCCAAGGTGCATACTACTATTATCTTTCATTTTATATTTTTTAAACATGATTAGAAAGATTAAGTAACTGCCCTAAGATTACAGTCTCTAACTTGCAGAAAGAGCCTATGCAATTAACCACTGTGCCTTTCTAAATATCTGTTAAGTGAATGAATAAATTTCACATTACAATGCATGAATAATAAGCAAAGGATAGCTACATTTTTAACATAAGGTGAAAATATGCCAGCAACCCAGAAACTTAAAAAAAAATAAATAAATGACAGAATTGCAATATACTCCTAAGGAAAAGCATTCCTCATGAAGCTGAATCTCCAGGAGAATCTAGCCAGGCCCCAGTCCTCCCACACTCAGAACACAGTATGGGGACATTGGAAGATGTGGGGTGTTTTCATCTCCCTTCATTCTCTTGGCACATCAAATGAACACCTACTCAAATTTCCAGTTGGCAAAGAACAACATGGGACATTTCTGTAGGAAATGCTAATGTCGTATGATTTACCTCACTAGAGGAATGCAAATAGCTTTAGACATTTCCACCAAAATGCCACCTGTGCTATAAGGTTAAGGAATTTGCACATACCATTCCCCAGGTAGAGAAACTGAGTCCTGGGGCACCTTTAGCACTGGGTGTACATGGCAAGAAGCATAGCAGAGAATTTGGGATTAAGCTGTTTCTAGTCTATCCACTAGCCACACGCCTCTCCCACCCCCAGCTCCTTCACACTGAAGATCTCGCCAAGCAATTTAACATATGGAACATGTGAAGAACGCATCGAGTTCCCGCAGCCGCTAAGTACAAGTTATGACTACTCTGGCTTTCTCATAGTAAAGCTCGTCATTTTCTGCTTCATGGACTAGAACTCCTCGCCAACTAGAAGTTCCAACATTTTCCCCTTTGCTACATGGATTTAACCAATTTTTAAAAACCAGATGGTGTTTTTGCCATTTATAACTGATAATCAATTGTTTTGTGAATTTAATTTTTCAAGAAAGAACTGAAATACTTATCAAAATTACAATCTGGGTGCTACTTGTGTTTGAATATAATTGCCAGAAGCACCAAGAGCCCAGGTTTTTCTTTTCTTTTTTTTTTTTTTCCTTTTGTCGTCGTGAGAAACTTTAAAGAGCAAGAGCGAGAGAGAGAGAGAGCTTATATTGTTTGCTTTCACTAAAACGGTTAAGAAACATGGATAAACATATATGAAAAATAATCATTGAAAGATGATTCATGTTTTGAGGAATACATCAGAGACAATCAATGAGAACTAGCAGCATCTCGATTTGTGAAAGACTAATTATTTGAGTACCTATGTATAAAAAGCAACAAAGACAAATTATTAGGGAAAAGAAAACAGTATTTGGAGTCAGCATTTGCCTGGCGGGTAGATTATTTAAGTACCTATAGAAAAGTGATTTAATCTCTGTTATGGACTAAATGTTTGTGTCTCCCCAAATGTTGAAGCTTAACCCCCTGCCATGTGACGGTATTTAGGGATGGGATCTTTGGGAGGTAATTAGATTTAGATGAGATTATGAAGGTGAGCCTCCATAATGGGATCAATGTCCTTATAAGAAGAGCAAGAGATACCAGAGTTCTGTCTTGCCTTGAGCATGCACCAGGGAAAGGCCAGGAGATCACACAGCAAGAAGGCAGCCCTGTGCCAGCCAGGAAGGGGTCCCTCATCAGAGCCCAATGATGCCTTCCAGCCCCTAGAACAGCACAAAAATAAATTTCCGTTTTTCAAGCCACCCAGTCTACAGTATTTTCTTATATCCTCCTGAGCAGACTAAAGCAATCACTAAGCCTCAGCTGCCATTTTCAAAAGGTGCATTAAAAGTATCATAAATGTCAGCTTTTGATAGAAAAGTATTCCATACATTAAAGTAAGTTAGCAGTATATTAGAATATTGGACTAGATAGACTATTGGTCTTATTTAGTAGACAGCTCTTATATACTTCAATTAAGACTAAGAAGCTCATCTTTAGGAGTATCAGTCTATGAATCTTTGTGAAATATGAAACCAGCTAAATACATATTTCTAAATGTATAAACAGTTTACCCAAAGGTTTATTCTTCTAGGATCAGAGAGTTGACTGTACACTCTCGAATATCACAAGTCAAATACCAATTTGAAGGAAAGTACTGAAGCAGGTTGCAGAAAACTACATATGAACTGGATCAAGGAGCAACTCCAATTCCCATGGAAGGGAACTTGCCATAGGGACTCAAGTCATAGTGTTTTCCAATCAAATATCTAGGAATATATCCAGATATATGTGGCTGATCCAAATATGTATTCAGTAAAAGAAAAAAACATTATGGTGTATTTTCACTGAGCAGTCACTGTTAAATTTTGGGACTACAAAGGCAAATGAAAAACTGCAGGTACTGCCAAGGAACTCTTCCCTAGCTACCTAGGGAAGGCAACGTGTACCACAACTATTATATGTAATAAATGTTTTCACAATATGTGCACACAGCTCTATGTGAACACGAAAAGGAGGCACCTACTCAGGAGATAAGTATGAATATGTGTGTCTCGCAGAAAATTTTCACACAGGTGAAGTTCTGGAGCCAAGTCTTAGAATTTAAGTAAGAGTCCACAGGGTAGAGAGGGATACTATTGGGGCAGGGGGGAGGTGTGATGAGAGGGGAAGTCATTTATAAGGCCCAAAAGCTTGGGAGAGCATCATGTATATTTGGGAAATTACAAATAGAATGGCTGGATGGCAGATTGTCAGAGGATGAGTAGCATGAAAGGAAGCTGGAAAAAATATACAGGGACTAGA